GAATTAGGAAAGTACAATAAAAACTCTAGGAATAAGCCTAACCATGTAGTTGAAACTTTTAAGATATTGAAAGCAACAGTAGAAGATGGGAGACTTTTCTTTGCCCACGGATCAACAAGATTAATAAGCTTAAAAACGGGTATGTACCGAAAGCAGCCTATAGGTTCAGTGTAGTCCCTACCAGAATTCAAATTCTTACAACTAGGAGGAAAAGAATCCTAAAATCCATGTGGAAAGTAAAAGACCCTATGCAGCCAGATCAGTCCTAAGCAGAAAGAAAGCTCGTGTCTGGAAGTACGATATCCGAGCTGAAATTACACTGTAGAGCTGTAGTAACAAAGACAGCATGTTACAGGAACAGAAACAGACTTGGAGACCCAACAGAATTGAATAGAACTAGAAATAAACCTACACAGCAGCTTCAGTAACCTAACTTTTACACAGGTGTCAAAAAACATGCACTGGAAAGATGACAGCGTCTTCAAAAGATTTTACTTGGGAAAACTGATTGTCTAACACACGGAAGAATGAAATCAGATGCCTGTCGTTAATCTTGCACAAAAATCACTTCAAAATGGTTAAAAGACCTTACTATAAACCATGAAATGCTTAGGAGAACATTAAGGGGAAAGAAACACTTCAGAATACAGGCACAGGCAAGAACTTTCTGGAAAAAAGACTCCTTAACAGCACAGGGAGTAATCCCAAGGATTGACAAATGGGATCACATGAATTTAAAAGGGATGGAAACTCTCAGTGTAGTCCAAAGACAGGCTGCAGAATGGGAGATCTCTAACAGCTATGCTTCACATGGCCTAATGTCTCGAATGTATAAAGAACTACAGAAAGTAAACATCAGAAAACCCTAAATTTTGTAATCTGTAACTGGGCCAATAAAACTGAACAGTTTTCAAAGGTACAAACAGAAATGGCCAGTAAACTTTTAAAAAGTGTTCAGCATCTGTAACCTCAGGTAAATGAAAACAAACAAACAAAACAACAACAACAAACCCTCTGAGATTCCTTACCTCAGTCAGAGCCGCTCTCATTAAGAAAGCGACAGTGAACTCTGGGGATGATGACATGGAAGGAGAGGAGCCCATGTCCACTGCTCTCAGGAATGGAAAGTGGTGTGCCCACTATGAAAACCAGTCTAGAAGCATCTCAGAAAACTAAAAGTATAGCTCCTACACGACCCAGTGATACCATGGCCAGGCAGACAGCCAGAGGCGCTCAGTGTGCACCACAGGGGCGCTTGTAGCTCCATGCCTGCTGGCCACACTATTGAGCAGGGCTGGAAGTGCCCACGGACAGATTAGTGGATAAGGAAAATGTGGCATACAGAATTTTACTCAGCTGCAAAGAAAAAGTGAGATCATGGGGTTTTCAGGAAAATTAAGGAGCTGAAAATTATGCCAAGTATCCCAGACTCTGAGCGCAATGTTCCATGCTTCTGTTGCATACAGAACCTAGATTTTGTATATGGATACATAAGATTTTGAAACTAGAATGGGAACCATGAGGGGGTGGAGAGAGGGAAGAGTGTAAACACAAATGCAGATGGGCTGCAGGCAGGAAGAGCCGGAGGACAGGAAGGAGGCAGAGGGGCACGAGGAGAGATGCGACCAAGACGGCCACACAGTGGAGTCTGCACCCGGCCCCTGAAAGCTCATTAAAAAGCCTAGCATACAGACATTCGTTCTTCAAGCTAGAAACTTGCCTATGTTTTGTTTTCACACAACAGTGGCTTATAAAAGGAGGTGGGTTTTCGGAGTCTGCTGAAACGTGTTGTTTTCCTATCTAGTATGGTTGTCTGTGTGCTGCCTACTGGCTGTTCACTTCCCGGTCCTTAGAACCCAATGAGCTTTGTCCCATAGCTGTTCCTGTTTGTCACAGATGTCTCTTGGCCTCATTTGGGCAGAGTTTTCAGAAGTGTTTTTCTCTCTGACCATTAGAAGCTTTTCCAGTTACTTCCCTTGTCTGTTCAAAGTGTTGTCTGCAGAGACCCACCGAGGTTATATAGGTGACTTTGTTTCTTAGTAACCCAGCCTTGCTCTTCCTGCATTTTACTTGGATCTTAAAATAGCTCTGGGCTGATAAGTTTTTGAACCTTAATTACCTAGAAGGTTGTAACTCCTTAATTTTTGTTTTGCTTGAAACAAGGTCTCTACATAGTCCTGACTGTCCTAGAACTCACTATGTAGACCAGGCTGAGTCTGCTCACCAAGTGCTGTGATTAAAGGCACACACCATCATGTCTGGCCAGTTCTTAATTAACTAGTTATGTGTGTGGGGGGGGGGGGGGGGGGGGGGGGGGGGGGGGGGGGGGGGGAGGGGGCATATACACTGGAAATCAGAGGACAACTTGAAGAACGAGTTCTCTACTTCACCAGTTGAGTCTCGGAGATTTAGACGCCCAGGCTTGGCAGCACTCACCTTTGCTGCTGCCCCAAGGACTACGGCTCCTGATTCACCAAATTGTAGGACAGACAAGGTTCTGTGAAGTCACACAGCCACGCTAGATCCAGCTCACTGTTGAGCCAGCCTTGTGTGTGTAGGCAGGATGGTTTGTCACACATTTCTTTCCCAAGGTCTTCTAATACAGACTAATCTCTTGGAAGTTTGTGTTGACTAAACTTTTCTTTTTCACAGTTCTGTAAGAATTTTTCTGAATGCAAAGATTCAAGGAACCTAATGTTCTGACATTTTGAAACAGTGTTATTTTAAAGGATATGGAGTCTTCAAGTTCAGAACCAGCAAAGAATGGGAAAGGCTTTTGCATTACACATTTGGTGCTTTCCATTCTCTCTACCTTCTGAGGCTGGCTGCTTAGGGAGTTTACTCGAGTTTAGTTGCTGTTGCTATGACATGCAGTTCCAAGTCATAGTCCTAGGAAAAGCTTAGTACTGTGAGAAAGACACGAGAAAAAAATGTCATTAATACATAAAATAAATAATAGTTTGTTAAAGTGTATACAAATCAACTATAAAATATTAATTTATCAAACTTTCATGCTTACAAAACAAAAAGAAGCTCAAGATCATACACAGCACTTTCCAGTTGAGAGAATTATAAACAAAGGCAAAATATTAAATTCTGTATGAGTGAGTGAGCACTGTAACAACAGCACTGCCGTGCTCGTTCCTGGCCACATCTTGTTGCTCAGACAGTGAGCTCAGGTGTTGCCAGGAGTCTCCATGCCCAGAATACGCTGATCACCATGTGGGCAGTTCAGGTATAGGGGGTTGGCACAGGCAAACCCTGCTGCTGTTGGGGGTCCTGCTATAGGGTATAATGTTTCAGTAACATAGATGCAGCTAGGCACACACTTTCACCCATCATGGATCTTCAGCACCACATATGCACTGCAAGGTATGGGTGAAGTTAGGAGTAGGTCAGTGGCACGGTGAGCTCATGGCATTGGTATCGGGTGGTGGTGTTCTTCAGCCTGCTGGCCTGTCCAGGGGGAGTTCACTTTCTGGGTCGTCACAGCTACAGTCACAGCCTGTGAAGTGTGGTGCATTTGAGGGGGAGTGGCCAGAGGCCCTGCTGGCCCTCAACCATTCACAGTGCGGAACAGAGGTTGCTACATGGTAATTGTCAGGATTGGGGGCCATCTGGTCTCTGTCGTAACTCCAAATCTGCTTTAAGGAAAAACAGCCATAAACACTTCACACAAGTTAGCTGTGTTCCCATAAAACTTAATTTCAAAAGCAAGCTTTGAGAGCCCTGTCTTTGGGAGTTTGCTTTATTTTGAGGTAAGGTATATGAAAACTATTGAGCAACCTTAATAACCAAAAACCCTTTATTCCTCTGTCAGTCTCTCTTTTAAAGAAATTACATCTATTTTGCATGTGTGTGGGAGGGGACTCACTTTCCACACTTAGAGGTCAGAGGATAACTTGTGTGGGTCAGTTCTTTCCATCCACCACGGGATGGGGGGGGGGCGCGGCTGTCCCGGAGATTGCCCTCAGACTGGGTAGTGAGTGCCTTTAGCCACTGAGTTGTCTCTCCATTCCTCTCTTTGTTTAAAATACTGCCGAGGTTGAAATTAGAGTGAAATGAGTGTGTCCATTCACACAGTTCATGCCTTGACTTTGACACAAAGTGAAAGAATGTGTTTTGTTTTGGCATCATGATAGGTAGCCATTCTTTGACAGATAAGATAAAATCCCCTTTTAAAAAGAACATTTCTTTGTGTTTGTATGGTGTGTGCATGTGTATACACTTGTGTGTATGTGTGAGGATACACCCCCCTATGTATGTGGGGATATGCACTTGGGGTGTGTGTGTGTGTGTGTGTGTGTGTGTGTGTATGGGTGTGAGACCAGAAGTTAACCGCAGGTGTCTTCTTTGTTTTATCTACCACATTTATTTTTGAGATATGGTCTCTCACCAGACCTGTGCTCACAGTTGGACTTGACTGGTTGGCAGTGAGCCCTGGGATCTGCGCCCACCCACACATGTGCACACATCTGTCCCTATGGCACTGTCCTTTTCTGCTGTCTGGCCCCCTTCCATGTGTCTATGTTAGGTCTTCATTAGACCGTTCTCCATGAGGCTGCAGGTTGAATCTTACCCTTTGCTGCATTGGTTATGGTCCCCCAATTTTCCCGCTTGGCTGTGGCTAGTGTGGCTGATGGCCACACAACAGGCTGATCTCCTGGAGTTTCTGTTTTGAGTCGAAGAATGTAGAAGAATGGACAGTGATTGGCACTGATGGATCCTGCCTGAAGTTCTTGAGAGAAGCCGTTTGTTCCCATCTCCCAGATCCGTGGAGCTGTGCTGGTCCTGAGTGCTTTCTTTCCTTTGTATCTGTGACCTATCGTATGTCTTAAAAGCCTTTTGCTTCATTTTATTTATTTAAGTTAGTGAAAACCAGTTTCAGTTGCTTTTACTCAGAGATCTCTAGCAGTATGACCTTAATCATTCCAACTTTCATATTGATTGTGATTTTTTTCTTTCTTCTCTTTAAAAAAACAAAAACAAAACAAACTTAGCCAGAGACTGCTGCTGCTTTGAAACGTACCCTAGAATCCTTGATGGACCGAGGAGCCATAGTGAGGAACCTGGAAAGCCTTGGCGAGCGCGCACTGCCTTACAGGATGTCCAGCCACGGCCAGCAGCACCACAGAGGCGGGTAAGTTCCTCTGTGAGTGGCTTTGTGGGCTTAGGAAAGAATACGATGGGTCTTGGACACTGCGACAGGGCCACCATCAGGTCCCTATTGAACAGTTGTTGTTCAGGTGTCACTTACAAAGCAATGTTGTATTGCAGATGCTGTCTTAGTTAGGGTTTTATTGCTGTGAAGAGACACCATGACCACCGCAACTTTTATAAAGAAAAACATTTAACTGGGGCTGGCTTTGGGTTCAGAGGTTTAGTCCATTATCATCATGGCAGGATCGTGGTACTGGAGAAGGAGTTGAGGGTTCTGCATCTGGATCAGCAGAGTGTGTGAGCCACTGGGCCCACCTCCAACAAGGCCACACCTCCTGATAGTGCCACTCCGTATGGATGTATGGGGGCCGTTTTCACTGGAGCCACCCCAGATGCAGATGTTAAACTGTTTGTAGTAGTCAGGTCAGAACAGAAGCTGTGAGTAGAGCAACCAGCTTGTAGGCCGCCACTGAGGGAAGCTGTTTCCAAACTCACACTTCTTTTTCTTGATATGGAACTTCTGCCTTCAGAGTGCCTCCGGTTGCATATATGCAAAATAGGCTTCTTTGGACTGGAACCAGAGCCAGCTGTACCAGAGAGAAATGATCTGACCCACTCCAGACAGCGCGCAGTTTTCTATCTGTGTGTGTCCTCTCTGGCACTCAGAACTTTTGCCTTGGGCAAGCACCTCTGAACATCCATGGGCATTGACTCCACGTCTCACGTCCTCGTTGTCTTGGGAATGGAAAGAGAATGTGTAACCGTGTGTTGGGGGGGGGCTTTATTCTTGTGGGTTTCATGGTGTGGCCGTAGCCTTGGATGGCACTGCGTCTAAACCACTGCTGGGATTCGGGGCACACTGCAGGCATCTTCATCGCCTCACCTTGTTTTGTGTTTAGCTTCTTGAGAGTGCCTCACCAGAGTGCCTGAGTGTTGCTAGGAAACAGGCAGGGTTCAGTGGCTGGGCTTCTTCTACAGTCATAACAGCAACGAGGGATGGAGCATGTGTGCGCGTGCACGGCAGGGTGGGCATCCTTTCCTCACTTCCGTCTTTTTTAACTTAGCCACAGATTGGGATGGCTTTACCACAGGCCTGGATGTCTTTGCCTTTCTGTTTAGAAGGAACGCATGTGGCCTGTGCAGGAAGGATTAGCTGTTCCTTTGTAGAAAGTGAGAAGTCCATGTCCTTACCTGTGTGGTGCTTTGGGGCAATCCAGCTGAGTGTCCCTTTTCTGTCACCGTGAGTTCTGTCTCCCCCTGGCATTTCTTTAGCGGGAGTGTGTACTCCAGCCGGCTGCCCGGGTGCCGCTGTTGCCACTCGCCTGAGCACACCTTGAGAGCTGCTGTGCTGACTCTCCTAGCTGCAGGCCTCCAGGTGTGGTGCTGAGCACGCCTGGCGGCGGGGGGGCTTCTCCTCATGGGAGGAGCCCACCTGGCAGCACCTGCCTTGCTTTCAGGCCCTGGTCGAGTGCCGGGTCCTCACCAAGAACCGTGTTTTTACGTCACTTTACCCATTGGTATTGGAAAGCTCCTAGGAACAGAGGGGCACCATTTTTTGCAGTACACTGCATGTGTGTCCCTACTATGCGAAAGCACAGAGTAGAGTGTCTCTTATTACCAGGAGGAGTGCTTCAGGTTTTAGACTTGTGTTGCTGAGAAAAGTCATTGTCTACATTCGTCTATTTAAGGTCCTATTTTCACAGTGCTATATCTGAATACTAGTTTACAGAGATGCTGAACAAAAACTGGGTGTGTGACATCAGTGCAATGTGGGAAGCCTCACATGACCTGTCTTTCTAGAGACACGTTGGAATATAAATGGTGAGGACTCCGTCAGTGAGAAGTGGTGTTTATCTGTGTCGTGTGAGCATGGGGTGTGCGTGTGTGTCTTAGTGCAGGCCTGTGCGTGCTGCAGTGCATGAGTGGAAGGCAAAGGGCAGCTCTTGAAAGTTGGTTCTCTCTTGCTGCCTTATGGGACTTAGGAATTGAACTCGGATGGTCAGGGTTACGTACAAGCTCGTCCTCCTCCTGAGCCGTCTTGCTGGCCCAAGCACAACACTTTATTTTTATGTACCCGGGAATATTTTCCATGGTGGTGTACATTTAGAATTGCCCGAGTAAAGGTTTTTAGATGCCTGTCTTAGGAAGCTAAAGTTAGTTGGCTCCCTCATCCAGCTGTCCTAGTCAGTAAGCCTAGCCCTCCTTGTTGTAGGTATTTTCTTCATTTGGCAGGTTGCTTGTGTGCATCGTGCATAAACAAGAAGACATTGCACGCATGGCATGTCACAGAAAGTGCACTGCTTACACATGGTTAAGACATAGGACAGGCTTGTTGGTCACACACTTAGCAGTTAGCACTTTGGTTTATTTCAGCAACCTGGAGGCTGTGACATGTAGTTGCCGTTTGGACAAGGCACTGATTCAGGCTTTCATGCTGTGTGCATGAGTCAGTGTGTGTTTAGCTGGCTAAGTAAACGGGCCTGCATGTCCTTTAGGAACCCACGTTTCATGTGGTGCTATGACCATGTGTTCTAGGAGATAACGGTATGTTTCAGTGGCATCCACAGTCTCAGGTTGTCATGGTGGCTGCTGTCATAGGGTTTCAAGTCTATTGGAAGTCTCGGTGTGTATGCTAACCTAGGTAGCTGCAATGGGGATATGAGCAGAGGGCACGGGGCTGACATGCAGAGTGTCATGGCAGATCAGTGCCACTGCCGTTTTCTCATGGACTTCCCTAAATTGGCCCTGGATTATGCCCCAAAATAAAAATGTCATCATTCTAAATACTAATTTGGTCAGACCCTACATGAAAAGCAGGTTATATTCCAGAGACTGGTTTGTAAGTCCCTGTTACTGGGACCTTGTTTACTCCCTGGAACAACTTGATGGTTAAATTCCATGACCTGTCTACAGACAGTTGCTTATTCACTGTCTCCAGGGGCTGTGGAATTGGGTGGGTTGTTTATGCTGAGCTGAAGACCATTTTAAACTTTTTTAAAAAAATGTTCTTGCGTGTTCTACCTGGTGCAGGCTCCTGGTCTTCTCACCCTTATCAGACAGAGATGGAGAGAAGTCCTCAGACACCTGTAACTTATGTGTATACGATTTTCCATATTCCCGAGGACAGCCATGTCCTAAGTCAGTTGGCTGCCAGGTCATGATCTTGGGAACAGAGCAGAGTTGAAAAGGTCCCTGTGCTGCTTGGGCCCAGAGGGAGAGGTTGGGGACTTTGGGGCTCCTGGGTCAGCTTTCCTGATGGGAGGTCCAGCTCAGCCCCCACCTGTTGTCCCTGGGCAGTGCCTGAAAGCCTAGAGGACACAACCTGTGGCTGCTGGTTGTGGACAAGCAGGGAGTCATCCTTGGCTGAGGGTTTGCTCTGGTTCCCTGTGGGCCTTGTGCCTTCACGTGCTCACCCTGAGGCCTGTCTGTTTGGTGGAGAAGGTGCCTTTGTCGGTACCCCTGGCTGCCTTACATTGCAGAGGGAGCAGCAGCCTTTGCTAAGAGGGCTAGCATCTTCCTGAGACCTAGTGAGGCCCTGCTGCACACACAGCAAGCAGCCCATCTCCCTCCAGGGCTGTGCACCCTTTGAAGCTCTTTCCACTAGATGGGGCTGGATGGAGAGTGGTTTCTAGAGCAGGAGGGAGTAGAATTGATGGTCTCTGGTACTGAGCTTGTGTCTCTCAGGTGACCTGTGGTTGACCAGGCCTATAACATAACAGCTGGGGACTGGGCTGACCTCATGTCCGTAAGAATCTTCAGGTGTGGAAGGAGTTCTGGACTTAAGTTTGGGAAGTGTTTATGGCAAAGCTCTGTGGCTGACATGCGGGATACTCTGCTCTTACAGCTGAGCACAACGATCGTGGAATTTTACTGGCTTGCTCCCCAAATGTGCCTGCAGCTTGCTCACTCTGAGAACGCTGGCGCCCTCTCTAGAGGAGGGCGATTCTCCTCTGTACTTTTCCTATTAGTTAACATTTCTGTGTTCTTATGTGTTCCTGCCAGCATCAGGTCAGGCCAGTGTCCTGGACCCGTTTTTGTGTGTAGGAACCCTGCAGCTTGTGTGGGGGCGGGAATGCTATGTCCTTGAAGGTTTCTTTTAAGTGGCATTTCCCCAAGATCTGTAGAATTACTGGTTTTTAAAACACCCAAAACCCAACAGATAGAAAAGGAAATGGGATTAGTCTGTAGACAGCCTTCAGCTTTAAGGTGAGCAGTTCAGTGCCTCTGTGAAGTCTGAGATCAGAAAGATTTAACTAAGACAGTGTAGGGACAAGTATCCACACAGATTGCCTGTGTCTCCACACAGGTTCCAAGATGCTCTGGGGCTGCAGAGCCCTCCCGAACTCCCCCACCCACTGGGAGCCACTGAGCACTTCAGTGGAAAATTCCACCGTCTGCCATTGGGAAGGGGAGGGTGTCTGAGAGGGACAGTGACAAAGAACATAACTCCAGTGTAAGCACGCTCTTTTTGTGGGGTTCAGGCAATGGAACTGGAAAGAATGCAGCCTTTAGAGCTAAGAACACTACTAGGAAACACTTGCCCAGCACCTCTAGTAGCAGGGCTGGGGGTTCAGTTGGGCATTGACAACCCTGTGTCAGACGCTGACCTTGGGGTGCTGAAGGGCTGGGGCTAGCTTTCAGAGGAGTGGCAGGAACTGGAGGTGGGTTTCCTGGGGGTGGGGGTGGGGGTGCGCTGCCATGCAGGGAGCCAGCTTGCTATCATTGTTCCCAGTATTGGACATGGCCTGCCCCGAGAAGCCGTGTCTCTGGATTTTCTCAGATCTCTGGAGCCCTGGTCCTTGTGGAGAGTTTTGTGATGTTAAAGTGACTTAAATTCAAAGGAGAGCAAGGTGTCACTTTGTGCAGAAGCATTCCACTGGCGTCCAGCCTTGAACACTGCCTCTGTAATGAGCTGTGGTTTAGTGCACTCACTCTGTTTTGACCCCACCTCTCCTTGCCCAGCAGCAGGGAGTACCCCAC